AGCCCACCCTCCCTCCAGAGAAGTGAGCAAAAGCAAGTGGCGGCTCTTTTGCTTGGTTGTCAAGCCTGCGTGTCTTTCCATCAGGCCTTGTCAAGACATCAGCCATTACGTGCAGTCATTCATTTTGACTTGCCACTTCCCTCTCCTTGGCTGCGCCGCAAGTCCTTCTTAGACATTTCTTGCATTTCCTCTGGTTGAGGGCGAGCTGTGATTGCAAAGCCACCTTCGAGGAGTGCCTACTGAAAGGCCAGCCACACACTGAGCTCCATGATTCGATGGGTGTATTCCAGCTGGCCCCCTCTACCTGATGCCATACCCTCTCTCTTGAATTGTAAGCTGTGGAAGCTTACCACTAACTCTTTGCCAACTTGTTGGTCCTGTACCTTCGGCATGTCCTCGAGTGGTTGCATCTCCAGCTTGTTGTCGACCATCAATGCTTCCTTCTTATCTTTCTGTTGTCTGTTGCCGCTGATGTTCTTGTTGGCTGGTTCGGATTGAAGAGCATCCTCAGCGTACGACAACACCACAGATGACTTCCATCTTCCCAAGAAGGCCAGCTCTTGGATTGGCATTCCCAATCTCACGTAGTTCATGGCACCCGATCTTCTTGCCGAGTGCCCTTGAACCCCTTCACCAATCGTCATCGTCCACCCCTCCACCATCTTGGCCTTGGACAGACGTTTGCGCTCTGTGTCCTGGAAGATGTACTCCTGGGGTTCACGCTCAGCCCCGCGATACGCCTTCCAGATCTCGCTCCACACCCTCCAGCAGCACCATCTCGGGCAAGACCTGCACATGCAGCATTGAAGTGTTCGCCTCACTCCCAAACCTTGTTGATCACACTTCGACAAAGGGATAAAGATGGTCACCCTCTTTCTTGCATTGCAGGTGGTCACGTCCCTCCATCTCATGGCGCTCACCTCAATCTCTCTCAGCATCCAGATCACCGCCCAGGCGTAGGACAAGGCTGGTCTCTTCGTTCTTTTAGGTCCCTGGCAACATTGCATCCACTTCAGCTGCTCGATGTCATCCAGCTTCATCTCAGGAGCTCGTCTGACCGGGCCTCGATTCCTTCCCATGGACCTTTTGCAGTCAGCCAGCAACTTGTTCATCTGGACGTTCACCTCGAAGCCAGCTTCAATATGCATGAGCTTGAGTTCATTCAAATATTGATCTCCCGGAGACCATCCTCCAGCCTTAATTGCTGCTGCCACATCTTCAATGGTGCTCAGCTGGAGTGGGAAGACTTGTCTTCTTTCCCCCAAGCTCGCTTTGGCCATATCTTCGTTTTCTGAGCTGCCCTGGATGATTTTGCCAAGAAGTCACCCCTGAGAGCCTCCTTGGCCTGCTTCAACTTTGCCTGGCCCTGCAGGATGTCCATGACGGCTTCGAAGGACCCTCTCTTCGGACCCACTGCGTGCTCCTTCTTCTCATTCTCCACCTTCACCTCCAAGTGCTCTTCACGTGCCCGTCGGTTTTCTCCTCGCTCGATCACTCTGTCCTTTTCCATCCTGGAGTTAATTACTAAACCTGCCATGCACTTCAGGGGGTCATGACCTTCCCTTGCGGGCGCTTCTCTGGAGTGAGGCTGACTGGTCGCACCACCTTCTGGACTCCTGTTGGAGAGACTGTTCGATGCCTTGCTGGGGGTGAAATTGCACGAATCGAGTCCCCTTTTCTTCCCTTTTCCTTTGCCCATGTCGGAGAGCCCAGGTCCACAATCTCCGCCCCACTCTCCCTTCCTGGTTGCCGCGGAGAAGCTCTACTGCAGCGCCAGCAGCAGCGGACGAACGTCCACAGCCGCAGCCAAAGAAGAACCAGCCCGCTAGCACGGCAAACTCCCCGAAGGACCACCCTTGTGGCCTGTCCTCTGGGGGAGGGATGGATTGCACGGCGGCCTCCATTGAGCTTGAGGTGGCTTCAGATGGGTCCACTGTGTCCGCCTCCCCTCAACCCATCACCGTCCGAGTCCATCCACCCTTCACGAAAACAACAGTCGTCCGAAAAGTTCAAGCGCGACCCCAAAACAAAGCGAAACGTGGGGGAGGAAAAGAGCGAAATCCCCCATCCTTCCACGACTCGTGAGCGGTACCCTGCGGCTCGACCGCAGCCACCGAGTCCCATTCAGGTGAGGCTCTCCTCTCCTGTCCTCCCCCCCCCCACTTCGCTCCCTCAAGCCGAGAATGGTGCTCTCTCTCCCTTTTCGCACCATCCCTTCACAGCAGCTCGAAGGCTCCCGACACCTGATTTGCCGAAGTGCCCCACAATTGTGGGTTGGCGCCAGGTGGACTCAGGTATGATCCTCTTGATGGGGACATTTGCCAGTCGCTCCGGCTTGCTGTCACTCCGCTCATGTGGCCTGGAAAGCCAATCCGCCTCCACATTCCAGTTACCAGGGATGTGCTGCACGATGATCCGGCGGATGCCATGCTTGTCGCACCTGATTGCCAACTCCACCCCAATCCAGTTGATGACCGGGGAAGGCGAAGACAACCGCTTTGCCATGGCCAGGGCCACCACGCTATCACTCCTCAGCACCACACTCTTTCCTTCCAGTCGATGAGCCCATCTTCGGAAAGCCAATTTCACTGCCCAGGCCTCCAACGGGCCTTGTGATGCCGATTCCTTCCAAGGCACTCCCAACCATGTTGCATCCGCTTCCAACACGGGGATCTCGAGGGCCTCCAAAATGGTGAAGGTTTGCCCCACATTGTGATCAACCGTTGCCAAAATCGCCCCAATGCCCTGCGGAGAGGCGTCCGTCACGATGGCAAAGCCCGGCAACCTCTCTTCCATCGGCTCGGAGCGCAGAGCCAACGAGTCTGTGTCCTTGAACAGGGTGACAAACCAGCGCCTGGGTAGTTCTAGGCGACTGACACCAGCCCTATTTTTGGCCTCTGGTCGACACGCTTGGTTGCTCTTTTCTTTTCTTCATCTTCTGCCCGTTTCGTGTCGGCTACCACTGCATACATAATGCTGACAGCCCAGCGAGCACGCGGAAGGATCCCCGCGACCCAGGAGAGGCGCCCCGTCACCTGCTGCACCTCGCGGAGGCTCACCATCCCCTTTTGCTCCCAAGACTCCAGCGTCGAGCGGATCTCCATCATCATCTTCCTGGGTACCGTCAGCTTGATCATCGCTTCGGCCAGGTCGATCTCAAACATCACCCCGATCCAAGTCAGCTGACATCCTCGTGCTCCTTTATGCCATGCCAGGTTGACTCCCAGCGCTCTGGCTGTGTAGAGCAAAAGGGCGAGGTTCCTGTTCCTTCTCGACGTCGGGCCTCGCAGGATCCATATTGGGTCGTCCATGTACAGCTGACTCTGCATTTCCGAGGGCGCAATGAGGGACTGCCATAACCTTGCCAGGCACGCAGCGAACCTTCCCATTAAGAAACTTTGAAGCCAAATAACATTGCGACCCACATGAGGGTTTCGGATTGATAAATGCCTGGGCTCAAGCAGTTTGCGTGCTCTTCAGGATGAACCGGTAGATGGCAATAGGCGTCGCTCAGGTCTGCCGTGATCATCTCAAAGTCGTAGACGCCGCCCTCCGGCCTGTCCTCGTCGAGGGTCCATTCTTCATCCTTCGCCTTGATTGCCATCCTCTCCTTGGTCTTCCATAAGAACCTGAAGCTGTCCACCACATCCACCACCCTAGGCAGAACAATCCGCTCCGGCACTCTGCATCGTGCATTGCCCCCCGACCTTAGCAGGTCCACAATGATCCTTCTCTTCACGCTGCCATCGTCCTTCTCCTTGACCAGGAGGGCGAGCTTCGACACTGTGCCCCTGGCGTGCATCTCCCCGGCCTTGCCCGTCGGGAGGACCACCGCGAAGCCTTCACCGACCAGCCGCCCCAACTCGGCTGTTGCATGGACGGGCTCATCCGTGAAGCTCTTATAGTTTGACATGCCAAGTTGCTCGGCCAACTCTGGTGCTTCTTCCATCTCTTGTTCTGGATCGTCTGCTTTCGGAAAGATTCCGCAGCAGGAGATGCCCTTGCTCATGCCCAGCGGTACTCCACGCCTGATCCATTCCACCAGGTGCTTCTCGGGGTCCAATGCCGCTCTGAGCCAACCTTCCCACAGCTCTGGATCCAGCGGAGAGTCGAACTCGTCCTGGTCTGGAAGAACTGCTTGAGGGCTCCCTTCCATGCCATCTCGACTTCCATGCTGGGTCGACAGCCGGCTATCCCGTAGTTCTTTGCCACATCCAAAGCCTCCGGGTACCCTGCAATGAAACGATCCCAGATCCTTGACACGTCCATTCCGACCTGCCTCAGCTTCGACAACTTCTCCACTGCCCTGCCTGGATTTCGCATGCCTCCAATGTACCTTTCATTTTCCTCCTCTCTCCTGGCTTTCTTCGACATTCCCACCATCGGCCTGATGTCATGACTCGTTTGATTCTGCTCCCAAACCCTTTTGGACGGGTCCGCTTGGTTGTCCTTCAGGAGGTCCCTGATAGATGCGTTCCTTGCTTGCGATCCACCTTTTCTTCAATGCCGACACCTCTTGCTCTTTGGTCTTGAGCATGTGCCTCCAATACTCCAACTGCATCATGTGCTTGGAGGCGATGATCACCAGCTTGCAGTATTCCTCGCATAACTGCCTGGGGTATTGGGCGGCCGCTGCGGTTCGACGAGACCCTACAAGAGGTTCATGACGGATCCATTGACCGCAAGTGCACGATCTCTTCAACTTCTCGAGGACCAACAACCTACCAGCAAAACGTCCTGGTTTGTACCACCTGGTTCTCTCACCCTCTTGAAAGGCGCAGGTGTTATAGTCCGCCACCTGCGCCTCAAACGCTTCCATGAATGCTTTCTGGAAGCTCCCACGCCGGTCCTTCTTCGCGTGTCTCGGATCCAGGAGGGTTTTCTAAGGTTCCGGACTGTGGCACCTTGCGTTTCCTCTGGCTCTTCAGGATGGCCCCGATGACTTCCACCAACCTGTGGCCAGAAGGGTTCCCACATCGGCCAACAGTTGCTCTTCCGCCGAATTCGAAGGCAGCCCATAGATGTGCTGCAATGACCTCACTGGCGGAGGTCCCCTGAAGTCCATGTTCCACCTTGCCCTGCTGAAAGTGTTGCACGGGAACCCAGCGTGCCCTGCATCGAAAGCATGCTTCTCTGCCTCGTCCTTGAGCTCCAGAAAGGGGTGATCCTTCGCGAGGTCCACGTCTCCTTCACCTTTCTTATCCAGACTATACACCTCGACCTGAATCCCCTCCTTGCTGGCCATGTTCTTCAGGCAGTCCCCCAGAACGTCGACCTCCCCACTGAACATGCGCAAGAACCGGCAAACCCAGGAACTCGGTCCGGGAGGTCATCCACATCCATCGCTTCTGGCCCTGTTGACGCGCTCGCCATGGCCACCGCCCGAGCTTTCTGCCCCTTTTCGGAGCGTCCCGCCCCACTGCAGCCAGGCCACCGCGCTCATCACATACCAAGCCGCTCATGAAGCATCATCGAACCCGAACGATCGATCGACCGACCCCGAACCACGATTCGAAACACCTCGACCTATGAACCACACTCTTCAACCCAGACATCCCCCTAACCTTCACCCCCCAAAAAAATGCAAGAACACGCGTATCTGCCCAACCCCCCCCTCTCGCATCACACGAGAAGGCTCAGCACCTTCCTGCCCTAGCCCCCTTCAGGGTCACGAGGGAGATGCTGACTTGTTTGGGCACTCCGCGTTGGGATGTCCAGGTGAAAAGCAAACCATGCACTTGTGCGCACGGCGAACCCTACCTTTGCACTCTGATCCTGCTGGGAGTCCGGCACAAGGTCCTACTCCCTTCGCCCAGCTGAAGCAGATTTCCTGTCCAGCTTGATCTTTGCCTTTTCCTTTGCCCTTGCCTTTGCTGGCTTCTCCTTTGGAGCGTTGTTCTCTGAAGCCTGCAAGCTCTTCCCGCTCGGAGGCCATCTCTTTCTCTTCGCCATCCTCTTGTCCCGGTTGGCCTTCTGTCGTCGTCGTCACCACGTTCTGCAGGAGGTCCAGGAATGTGTGCCATGGCAATCGTCTCCGCTGGGGGCTTCGGTGAACCATGTGCTCCACTGGCTAACCAAGCGGCTGCTGGGTGGCGAACTTGTTCATTCCAAAACCTTTCATCCAGAGCTAATGCCCTAAAGCACGCAGTCCACGGCTCTGCCTCAGTATATTCCCTTGGTGGTGCTCCTCCTGCTGCTATGTCCAAGGCAATGGATCGTCTGATCTTCTCCAACTTCTCCGCTCTGGCCTTGTCGTCGGCCTGTGCGATCAAGCCCCAGGCTTTGGGCCACTGGAGCACCAACTTCTCTATGACCTTTTCATACAGGAGGAGGGCGGCCAAAGTAACCAGGTTCAACGAAATGCACGCTACCTTGAACACTCTCCAACTCACCAGCCACTGCTGTAGGTTTTGTGGCCCTGGCAGGTCCTTCATCACGAACGAACCGTCCCCTATGGGAAGAAAAGCTCGGAACTTCTGGTTCTTCAATACCCTCCTACCGAAAGGCAACCATACGGAGAAGTCCACATAGGGTGGCTGGTTCTGTACTCGAACTCGATGATGTAGTGCGGCTAATTGCGCATCAGTTGGCTCTTCTTCTTCATGAGGGGGAGCTCCCATCACTGCAATGTACCTTTGAGCCCATTCGTTCAACATGACTGCATCAGGAAGTTTCGTTTCTGAATCGTCTGTCTGGTCCACGATGTTGGCCATCTTCAACACATTGTCTTTGGTGCCCCCACTGCCTCCACTTCCAGAGGCTGCACCACTTGTCCTTGCCATTCCGCCACCTGTTCCTTCAGCAGGTCCCGGAGTTGTCTCAGGCATCCATGGGTCCCTATCCACAAAAGTGTCTGGGTTTCCGCCTCCTTGCAAATGGATGACCCACCTAGCATTGCGCCATACCAACCCCACCTGAGCCGCCTGAATTGGGGTCAAACGCTCACCGGACGCGAGGGTAGCCGAACTGACAATCTGGGGAATCGTCCACACCGGCATGGCCGCAATCAACCGAAGATCATTACCTGGATCCCCAGCTGTCAGAACAAAGGCGTCCCACAAATGGTCCGGGACATTGAGGCCCGTCAGGAGGTCCGGCACCGAAGAAATCGCTTGGGCCGCAGGCACCCCTAACAAAACCATCAGAACATGGCGGCTCGCGCAACCCTGAAAAGTAAACCTGAACCAGGTCAGGTCTTTGAGCCTCTGGCTCAAAGGTGGGGTTTAAGCTTCATGCCCTCCCACCCGCCTGAACAAACTTTTCAGCTCTTGTGTCATGCAGTACCTATGGTACTTTCACATACATTGCAGGAGCAAACAAAAGAGAGCTGAGAATGGGAAAAAATGAATAACACCCGTCTCGTTCTTCCAATCCTTCTCCGACACGCTTCCGCCCAACCTTCATCTTCCGCATTGGCTCGGAAGCGGCCGCGAGCGCGGAATGCGAGCATACGTTGACGTTCAAGCTCGGCCTCATGTTCTCCTGAGTGAGAAGTCCTTGTCTTTGACAAGAAACACTGTGAGTCTTGGGATCGCAGCTTATTGCTACTAGTAGCGATGCTCTTTGTTACTAGTAGCTTCTTGTTACTAGTAGTAAGGCCAGGAGCTACTAGTAGCTTTCTTTGCCAGTGTGCCAAAGTTTGATCTATGATCAGAGTCCATTTTTATACTGGAAAGACCGGCCAAATATAGACAGGAGCCCAAACTTCCAGAGATTTGTCTCCATGATGGTTCGTGTCCGTGGTGCCATGGAACCAATGAACATAGCACACGATGTTTTCGTGGACGAAGCCCCAGGAGTTGAAGCTTTGGAGGTCGATCATTGGCACTTGAATACCATACCATAATAGCAATGGCCTCCAACCTAAGAGCGATGGCCTCCAACCTAGAAGCATGGTGATGGGTTTATCACCTGGACTCATTCAGTCAAGTCTCTGAAACGATCATTGATGATGCGGTTGTTGCCTCGGTCATGCAGGAGCTGACCCTTTAACCAGTCGCCAATGGACTGTCGGAAGTCCTTTCACTCTCGGTAATCTGCTTGAAGAATGATGACCAATGAGAATGACACCAAGTTCAACAGCAAAACTTGCATATCATATCATGGCATCAGCCCCTACATTGCCCCGTCGATCAGCCCCTACATTGCCCTGTCGATCTGGTGACTGTCAGTATATTGAAATGCTATGCCAATACTGTCACAAAAGCAATCTCCTTGAGGGCAACATCTTTGAGCTAAGCTAATAAGTGCTGTCCAACACTGCCGTCTTCCTCTGCCAAGCAACTCTTGCCGGAAAAGTTCCACTTCTTCTCACCCGACTTGGCCTTGCGCGCCTCTACTCGCCGGCGACGTGCTTCACCCTGGCCGGGGTGAGTGTCAGCGAGCTGACAAGTCTCACAAGCTACAACGAACTACCTCGGCCCCTCATTGCCCCTCATTGTTCATGCTGCTATGAAATTTGAGAGTCGGATCAATTCTATCAGCCTTGCAATGAGCTTCACAAGGCCTTCGGCTGGCTCTCTTGTGGAAGTTTGGTTGACTGCTTGTCGCAAACATCTGTAAACTCTGTAAACATCTGTAAACTAGTGTAAGTAAAAAAAAAAAAAAAACATTCCCCACCGTGGAATGTTCACGATCCCTTGTGTCTTTGGACACTTACATAGGGAAAAAAGGGAGGTCAGAAATCCGTGTTGAGCCGAAGCATCTGCACCTATCTGGTGGACCAACCCGCGACGTTTCCGAACTGCCAACATCGGTGGGGTGCCTTGGACACCTGCACCGGTGCCTCCCGCCTCTGGGTCGAGCTTCAAGCGCAAGGCGGCAATCTTCTCTTCGGCCTCTTTCAGTTCCTGGTTGAAAAGCTCTTCGCAAGCCACCGGTCACTGGAGTTGAAGTTGACAAGTTCAGCCCAAGCATTTGGTCCAGAAACAACTGGCTATTTCATGCTCTTTCTATGTGCGTCTGCCCAATCTTGGGAGACACCCCCCATCTCAGGACGTGGTGCACAGTTTTCGGGGTGGCTGTGATGGAAAGTGGATAAAGTGCACAACACGTTTATGCAAAACACAATTCGTGACGAGTGGATGTATTCATCACTCCGCGGCCCTTCAATCCATGCTGTGATCGCCGTTTTTCACTCACCGGGTCATATTGTTCAACGGAAAAAAGCATGGACAGTACAAACCAATATGATACAAAGGTGTATATATTTATACATACACACAAAATACAGTTATCATCAAAGTGCTCTTGAACTACGTTTGTGTTTCAACGCAACCTTCCCTGCATGCTCACATCCGTCCTCTTCCGATGCACCCATGCCCGCAGCATCTTCCAGGGCGAGGTTGGCCTGTTCCACATCATCCTGAGAAATAGCATACCTCAGATCTCAATCTCATGTCTTGCAACAAGAAGCCTGCAAGGAATGAGCTCGGTAAACAGAATACAGTAAATGGAGAACAAGCAGCACATTGGAATTTGGCAACAGGTTGGAATATTGAAAATATTGATTCGGCCAGGGAGTGACTGTACAAAGGGGCAACCACAAACAGAGAGGCTGCCCACGCCAAAGGGGCTCAAGATCTTCAAAAGCCAATTGGATGCATTCTTTCTTTTCCTGCACATGTGCCGTTTCGCCAGCCATGAACAGCCTCACTTGGTTCAATATCCAATCAAATAAAGCTTTCCGGCTAATATGCTATAGGAGTGTCTTTAGTGATAATTTAAGGAGTAAGCCTACGTACCACCAGTGTGAGTTTTTGTCGTATCCATCTCGAAGCTTTGGTGAAGCGCCTCTTCTTCTAGCACCTCCAGCCGAGTTTGGGCTTCCTCAAGTGCCAAACCAGCATCCTGCGCCTTCTGAATCGCCTGACACTGTTTGCACCCTCTCACAAACACTCTTTCAGGAGAAACGAACCAAAACAGCGGACATGTTTAATGTGCTTTGTCAGGTTCTCCACACTTTATTTTTTCTCTCCCTCTCTCCCTCTTTCTTTCTTTCTCCCTCTTTCTCTCTTTCTCCCTCTTTCTCCCTCTTTCTCCCTCTTTCTCCCTCTTTCTC